CACCGGGTGGCGGCCAGCTGTGGTGAGTTAGAGAAATCAATCTGCATTTAAATTCAGTCACCTGTATTCAAAACAGTCCAGGCTGAACTGAGCTGTGTTTTATGTCTCCAGGCCTTAAATACTGCCACTTTGCGGATGAGTTCCCGCTCAACCGTCCAGAGCTGTGGGCCTTCGATGGTGTAAGCACAGCATTTCCACACTTTTAATGCTGTACAGGGACAGGTGGGAGGTGAACAGCAGTTTGAAATCTCCTCTGCTCTCTGTCTACAGGTCCATCTCAGCGACGACGCAGGGATGCCTATCCTTGTGCAGTTGCTGTGGAAGGCCACCTACGAAGCCATGGAGCCCCCAGCAGCCCGGCCCCAGGAGCCTCGCAGGGTCCCCTCGTCCGCTTCACCCAGGATTCGTCCGCGTGTTGTGGTGAGAGGTGAGGTCCCTGCCCCACGTCCTCCTCCTGCGGAGTGGATTGTGGTGGGACCTGCTGCCAAGGTAAGAACTAACCTGAAGCACACAAGTGAATGTGTCATTGAAGTGAGCCTTTTTATGCACTGTGGCATTTCAGTGAGGCCTCTCAGGGGAAGCTGAGCTGTCTTTTCTTCATCAAGAGGGAGGATGGTTTGAAAACAGTTACTGAGTAGTATTTTCTGTAGCTCTGTCTATTCTCTGTGTATCCCCTGACAGGTGGAGGCAGGTGCTGTTGCCTCAGGGGAGTCCTTCCTGCCCCTGAATCCTCAGAGGTTCTCTCCTGAGATCCTGACGGCCATGGAGAAGCTGGTTCCCTCTGCCCTCAGTGCTCGTGTTCCTGCAGGCGATCGGGTGAGTCAAGCATAAAGTCCATCAGAATAATGACATTGTTGAGAGGATGAGGGATGGATCCATAGTTGGGTTTCTTAAACTAAACTGACCTAACGTGTGTTTTCCACCGTTAGGCGTCGCCTGTGGAACATGGGAGGAGACCTGCTGCTCTGAAGAGGAGGCGAGCCCAGCCACAGGTCTGGAATGCCTTTAGTCCATTTCAGCCTCACTTTGACCAGAAGTTACTGTAAAATGTGCGTGGTTTAATGTGAGTGGATTTTGTTTCCAGGTGTCACCGACACCAGCTGTTCCTGCTGCTGTGATGGAAGGAGCGCCCAAGGAGAAGGTTGGTGCTGATACTTCATGAGAAACATGTTCCACTTCATCTATTTAACTAATAGATTATCCACAAGACGGTTTATTCTCTAATGTTGCTGTTTCATGTTATTCACACTCTGTTCATCACATTCTACATATTTTACACACTTCTGTCATTGCAGAGAGCTGAACGTCGGGCTCGACGTTTCAGGGGACGGCAGGCCAGACCTGACAGCTCTGAGCCATCCCCTGATCAGGTAGGTAACTCTCTAACTCCTTCTTCTTTGTCTCACCAGGCATCTCCCCTAGCGACGACGGCGGCTCCACCTGCCACCACAGTGATGCCTACATCTCCGGTGGAAGAGGCTCCCTCCTGGGCCCAAATAGTGGCAGGAAAGGTATTTTTCATTTCACGATATGTTTTCAGTCTGCGCTTTTCTCTTTCACACTTCCTGTTCATGACATTGATCCTCGTGCAGGTTTCTACACCACCGAGACCCTTCAGGATAGACCTGGAAGCCTCCACTCCCACAGTTTCACCAGCACAGAAGGTATTTTCATCCTTTACTCACATTGGGGCTTAAACCTTTTATCATATCTGTCCAACATTGATTTTATGGGATTTTTACTCATTAATCCATCTCATCCAGATTCCCAGGTTTCAGACCCCTCCGCGCTCTGACATGTCCAGGATGATGAGCACTCCTCCTCCTTCACCTGACCAGGTACACACTTTGTGCAGCTTTGGACGCAAGTAGTTATCTTAAAAACTGTGTCTGATGCATACATGTTTTCAGAATTAAACAAATAAATTACTTGAAGCTGTTCTGATTCTGCTCTGTTAATGTCTTTTTTAGATGACCAGCAGCTCATCCCCCTCCAGCTGTTACAGCCCAATGGAGATTGGATCTATGGACTTTACTTTTCCTAGTCCTAGGGTAGGTTTGGCTTCTTACTCCTTGTGTGTATTATCTAGTCTGTCTATTGTCTTTCACAAGCCTAAACTGTTATTTCTTTCTTTCTACCAGCGTGAATCAACAGCTGACCTGCCACCTCAGGAGGAGAGAGTCTCCCCTCCTGCGCCTGAAACCGCCCTGGGACAGGCGTACAGACGAGGCCGGGCTGTGAGGGCCTCTCATTCTCAGGGTGACAGCAGGTATGAGCGCTTCTCCAGGAATCACCAGTGCACCTGCAACTCCCTCACATTCCTGGCATACCACGCTGAGGGAGTCCATTTTAGCACAGCAGAGCTGGATAAGGTACTGGAACAAGGGGATTCGCTTTATATATGGGCCAAGATGAAGCTCATTCAAGAGGGGCGGTTCGTATCCGACAACCTCGCCGTAGAAGAGATTCCACCTCAGATTCACACAGACAGACACACGTACAACATTCAGAAGGGAAACATCGGCATAGGGTTTCTGAGGGCTGAAGAACACAGCCCTCACGGACAGCAGTGGTGGTTACCCCTTGCCACACGTCTTGAGTGTCTGGCTGAAGAAGTCAGCTGTGCCTTACTCATGGTTTCACCTGAGTGTTTTGCCGTCTTCCGTGATGGAAGAGGGAGGTACGGTTTCTTCGACTCACACTCAAGAGACTCCTTAGGTTTGCCTCTCTATGGTGGAACTGCAGTGATGCTGACTTTCAGTAACCTGGGTCAGCTGGTCCAGCACCTGGACACGCTTTTTAGAGACCGTGGTGCTACGACCCAGTACGAATTTGTGCCTGTTTCATTTGAGCCGGTCACAAATAAAAGCAATGAGCCACCGACAGCCTCAGCTAGTGTTCCTCCTCAAAACATTGATGTTCCCGCGCAGCCCGCAGAGAACACTGCTAAACGGGTCTCTGCTGAGCACGAACACACCAGCACCGTCCGTCACACAGCACTCATAGGTCACACTTTGAAGACACCGAGTTTAACAAAGGTAAGTAAAGAACGCCGTCGAAAAGCAGCTCGTCGCATTAGGAATGAATCAGTACCTGAAAAGGTATCTGCTGAGCTAAAACGGACTAAAAAAAACCTTCGTGAAAAGCAGCAGTATGCCAGCAGTACAGAGCATAGGGCCAGAAAACTACAGACATATCAACACAGATATAGAACTGATGCACTTTACCGACACAAACGACTTTCACTATCCATACATCATTATCAGAATACACAGGATAAAGTTAGAGCATACAAAGTTAGGACATACCAAAGTGATGCTGTTATTAAGAACAAAAAGAAACAGTATCGCGTGTTCAAATACAAAACTGATCTTTCATATCAGCGTAGACAAAAACAGTACATAGTCAATAGATACAACACAGAGAGGGATTTTAAGAACAGACAGAAACAGTACTATTTCACTAGATACAACACAGATACAGCTTTTAAAGAAGCACAAAAGAGGTACAGAACTCTAAGATATTTAGAAAATTCCTCACACAGAATTAAGAAGAGAGTTTATAGTACCAATCTGTATAAGTGTAATGACATGTACAGAAAACGAAAATTACAAAACATATACACAATGTATCACACTGACCCCGACTTTAGACGGCAACATATAGAGCGCTGTGGACAACTCCAAAAACTCAGATTAGCTACTGATGCCATATTTCACATTCAACACAAGTTGCAGTGTGCACTGAGGATCCGGAGGAGGTATAGGTACATCTCTAGACCCTGTCACCTGAGTGTGCTGCCTGAACCAGAGCCCAGTAACGTTCAGGCAGTAACGAGGAATGCGCAGCCTGCTGTGAGTGTCGTTCAGGTGCAGGGTGGTGGACGTGAGGCCCAGCCGGAGCTCGGTGTGCAGCAGCCAGAGCTCAGTGGTGCTGCGCAGGAGCCTCAGCTGAGCCGAGCGGAGCAGGAAGCTCAGGTCAGTGGTGCCGTTCAAGAGCCGCAGGTAAGTGAAGTTATAGAAGCAGCAATTTCAGCGTTCCGTGAACAGGTTCGGGACAGACCCACCTTGATTTGTACAGTGTGTCACAGGACGCTCTTTCCAAATCAGGTGTTGCGTTGCAGAAGGTCTAAGTATGTCCAGAATGTTCACATCGTTGCTGCTTGTTTGACGGGCACATATGTTCACCGGTGTGGCCGGCGCTGTTCAGCCCCGTGTACCGTGTCAGCTGACAGGAAGCAGGAGTGGATCTGCCACACCTGCGATGGTCATTTGGGAAGGGGTAGCATGCCTTCCATAGCAATGGCAAATAATTTGGGGCTGTCTCTCATTCCACCAGAACTCAGTGAATTAAATGTGCTTGAGAGACAACTTATAGCTAAGATCTTGCCTTTTGCTAAAATAGTAGCTTTACCTAAAGGTCGGCAGAGAGCGGTACATGGGGCTGTTGTGTGTGTTCCTTCTGAGATGGAAACCACAGTTAACTGCCTCCCACGGCCCAGAGAAGAGGCCCAGCTGCTGCAGGTTAAGCTAAAGCGTAACATTAGGTACAAGGGCCATCAGCACTTCTTCACTGTAAACATGAAGAACGTGTTAGGCGCTTTAGCCACTCTTAAAGAGATTAATCCAGAATATAGGAACATTTCCATAGACCGTGAGGTCAATTATGATTATCTTTTTGATGATGAGCCCAGTCCTTTAGAAACGGAGGAAATCTCCGATGCAGATTTGTTAGAAGCAGCTGCAGACCCCAACATTGAGGAAGGCCCTGTTGAGGGTGGAAATGCTGAGAAGCAGCCAGAGGAGGAGCTTCGTCC